AAATGTATAACAAATTCTTTAAAACATCTCCTCATAATGAATATTTAGTTATTTTTCGAAAATGCCCATTATGTAGAGGTTTTCTCAATAATGGACAACTCTCTATAGTCTATARTTGATATTCTTTAATTCCCCATGGGTGTCCATTATATTGAGGTTTCACACATTCACTGTATACTTATTCAATTTAATTTGTGTTTAATAACAATGGTTAATTTATCTAGGTACTAAATGGATATTATGCACTTAACTATCCATTCAACTACGCGCCTAAGTTATGCCAAGATCCTACAAAAATAACATTCGATTTTATAGTGGTCGGAGGTGGAAGTGCTGGCGCAACTGTAGCAGCACGTTTAAGTGAAATACGCGAATGGAATATCTTACTACTAGAAGCTGGAGGTGATCCACCAGAATCAACTGAAAATCCTTTTTTATGGACCCACCATCTAAGGACAAAATTTGATTGGGCATTTTTTTCGGAAAAAAACCCTTTTCTATTTAAAGGAATGGAAGAAGAGAGGTGTATTATATCTAGAGGTCTTGCTCTAGGCGGATCTTCTTCAATTAATGCAATGATATACTTGCGTGGTACTGTAGAAGATTTTGGACAGTGGAAAAATAAATATAGTTGTCATGGGTGGGACTATGAAGATGTTCTACCGTATTTTAAAAAGTCCGAAAATTTTGTTGATATTTGTAGATATGATTCGGAAATTCATTCACGAGGAGGACCACTGACTGTTACACCATTAGAAACATTCGATCCAGCTTATAATGTTATCGCTAAAKCAGAGGARTCGATGAATGTATTTAAGGTGAATGATTTAAACAGAAAAGAACCAGTTATCGGATATGGTAATTTTGATTCAACTACTCGTTGTGGCCTTCGATGTAGTACATTAAAAGCATTTTTAATACCAGCTAGTGATCGTCCAAATCTGTATGTAGCAAAAAATACAATTGTTACTAAGATCTTAATTAAAAATGATGTGGCAGTGGGAGTGAAATTTAAATGTTCATTAGATGATATTAAATCAGTTTTTTGTACAAAAGAAGTGATAATATGTGCTGGTTCTATAAAAAGTCCTCAGCTTCTTATGCTTTCTGGAATAGGGCCAAAAGAACATTTAAATTATCACGGTATTCCTACCATTAAAGACCTACCAGTTGGTTATAATTTACAGGATCATATGTCACTTCCAGTATTAGTATTTACAGATCGAAAATGTAGACCAATTGAAGACATAATAAAGGAGAGTAATGACTTTTTGAAAAAAGATTTAAACTTATAYTCACAAAATATATCATCACTTGGCCTTAGTAAGCTTATGACTTTTTATAAATCTAACGACGATTTAGAGTATCCTGATATACAAATATTAAAATTCAGAATTCCGTTTAACTCAACAAACACTTTTCCAAATAAATTAAACGTATTTACAAACATGTTTGGATATGCTAAAGAAGTAACAGATTTATATGATGAATTAAACTTGTTAAGTGACCTAATAGTTATGACTCCAATTATATTACAACCATTAAGCACTGGTAGAGTTATGTTGAACTCAAATGATCCATTTGATAATCCAAAAATATTTTTGAACTATTTAACTTGTGATAAAGAAATAGAAACTCTATTAAAAGGTATTGATTTTGTTGTAAAATTATCCAAAACAAAAAGTATGATTGATGCTGGGCTAATATTAGAAGAGTTGAAATTACCGAATTGTATTGATTATGTTTGGAACACCCGAGATTATTGGATTTGTTTTATTCAGAACTTAGCAGTTCCTTTTTATCATGTTGTTGGTACTTGTAAAATGGGTCCAGAAAACGATCACCATTCTGTTGTTGACCTTAAATTAAGAGTAAAAGGCATAATGGGATTGCGGTTGATTGATAGTTCAATTATGCCCAAAATTGTTTCTGTAAACACTAACGCAGCTTCAATAATGATTGGTGAAAAAGGAAGTGATATAATAAAAGAATGCTATGGAAAGTTTTGATGAATTAGAGATGAATTTAATGAATAAGAATAATTGTTTATTTCAATTTGTACAGTGAAACCAATAACGGAATCGCATGGGACCAAACATTTTTCCGTTATAAAGAGTTTTCTGTCATAGACATTTTATATATTATTTGCATCGGGAC